CCGAGGCTGCACTTGGAACCCCCCAGGCCCCCTGCAACCTGGCTCTCGGGAAATGCCCCTGGTCATTTGGGCCTCGGAGACCGCAGGAGGCGGGCACCAGGCCACAGCTGGGAGTGACCGCCTGGCTGTCACACAGTGTGCATGACATCAAGGACACTGCATGGCAGAGCCAGCTTGGGGACAGTGTCATCGAGGCCACCACAGGGCCCCAGACTGCAGAGGCCACGGGTCCTGCACAGAGAGGCCGCCCGCGCCTGTCCCTGTGGGTCACTCTTTGGGGAAGGGCCAGCCTGCGCCAAGGTGCATTTCCGTCTCTGCGTCAAGGTCGACATGAGTATGTGAGTGGGCGCCTCGGCGTCCCCGGCTCTGTGACCGTCTGTGGCTGTGACAGGTCATTCTGTCACGTGAGGGCACCTTGGTGTGATGGCAAGGTCCGTGTCTAATTGATGTCCACCTCCCGTCATGGCCGAGCGGCGTGGCTGTGTGGGTGTCCGTGATGCTCCCACCTGCCCCGCCTCCCGGCCTCCTCCGCAGCCCCGTCATCCCAGAGACTCGGGAGGCTGAGGCAGGAGGATCGCAAGTTGGAGGCCAGCCTCAGCAACTTACTGAGGCCCTGGGCAACGTAGGGAGACCCTGTCCCCAAATAAAAAATATAAATAAAAAGGGTTGTGGACGCGGCTCCGTGGCCAGGTGCCCCTGGATCAATCCCTGCTACCAAAAATGGGGGAAAAAAAATCAGTTGTGGGAAAAATTCACATAACATGACATTTCCCACTTTGGTCATTTATCAATGTGCAGTGTCATTGCTGCTGGTGTGAATAATGTCCCCTGAAGAATGTCCCCCACATGGGGACAGCTGGGTCCCCAGCATGACCCTCCTGGGGGTGTCGGAATGGACCCCCGAGCCCACGGAATCTCAAGTCTTCCATTCTGGGAATATTTCAAATAAAAAGGCCCCGTTGGGGAATCAGAAACCTAGGACTTGCGCTTTTTTCCTATCAGCGGACGTTCGTGTGGTGCCCTAATCATGTTCTTAATGTATACCTCAGTGTCGCACGACTCGGCAACCTGGGTCCAACCCCAGGAACCACCAGACAAGTCGACCTTCTGTCTTTGTAAGCTGAAGACCTCAGGCCGTCCGTCACAGTGACCGCGATCGCCACCCAGCGTCCGCTGAACCACCATACGGTGAAGCACCAAGTCCTCCTTCCGCCTGCGTGGGTTAGGGGCTTAGTCAGAGGCCTGGATTAGGGGCCTGGGTCAGAGGCCTGGATTAGAGGCCTGGATTAGAGGCCTGGGTCAGGGCCTGGATTAGAGGCCTGGATTAGAGGCCTGGGTCAGGAGCCTGGGTCAGAGGCCTGGACAGGGGCCTGGATTAGAGGCCTGGGTCAGAGTCATGGATCGGAATTCTGGGTCGGAGGCCCGTGTTAGAGGCCTGTGTTAGAGGCACAGGTTACAGGCCTTGGTTAGGGGCCTGGGTCAGAGGCCTGGTTGGAGGCCGTCTCTGGGGCAGCTGCTGACCTTCCCGTTGCCCTGACCTCATCTGTGCTGGCTGTCCAGGGAGGAAGGAGCCCCCGCCTCCCCAGTGCCTGGCCTCCAACTGAGGCCCCGTGAGCCCGAAAGACGGTCCAGAGGACAGCGCTGGGGATTGTTCCGGGGGAGGGCGGTGACCCAGAGGCCCGCAGGGACAGGACATAGAGCAGCAGGGACCCCGGGCATCTTTACGCCTCCGTGGGACCCGGGGGGGGGTGACCCTGAGGAAGCAGGAGGGGTCAGAGGGGCTGACCTGTGGCCACACACCGATGGCCGCAGATGCCCATTCACGTCCCCCAGAGGACCTCGAGTGACACCGTGAAGACCTTCCTCAGGGGTTTCTGTGCCTTGACTGAGAGGCCTCAGGGCCCAGGGGCTGTGAGAGGTCCCTGTCCCCAGAGGGACACAACCTGAACCCCTCACAAGCTTCCCGTGTTCCTGGTCTGGTCCAGCTGATGGGCTTCTGGGATCCCGGGTGGCCCAGGGACGCCTGTGTCCCAATCCTCGGGGCCCCCTCAGCGTCTAATTTTGATAAGGGTCCAGCAACCCTGGACGTCCCCCAGAGGAGGCCGGGATCCAGCCTCCATAGATCCTCCTTATAGCAGGTCAACCTCCCCCTGTGGATTTTTTTTGGGGGGAACCAGGCATTGAACCCAGGGGTGCCCAGCTGTGGAGCCCACCCCAGACCTGTTAATTTCTTATTTAGAGCCGGGGTCTCCCTACGTCACTTAGAGCTTCGCTCAGCCGCTGAGGCTGGCCTCCCACCTGCCATCCTCCTGCCTCAGCCTCCCGAGGGGATGGGGAAAATAAGACATTTTAAAAGCATCTTTCAGGCCAAACCTCGGATGACCGCGGCCTGCAGATCGTCCTGGCCTTGGACAGAGCTCTGGACCGTGCCCAGAGGGAGCCTCAGGGGACGTGGTGCCAGGCATGTCTTGCCACCGAGTGGTATTTTCCCCGTCCTCTGCGCGGGGGCCGATGGCGCCTGATGGCTATCACCAAGTGACACAAAGCCCCGTGGGAACGGAGCCTGGATATTTCCGGGAAAACCGCCGAGAATGTCAGACCTCGGTTTGCCCCGTGACAGTCCTGTCTGTCCAGGTGGCCGTCACGGCCCAGGTGGGGTCACTCCTGGCTCCTGGTGTGTGGGGCCCAGAGAGGCTGCTCCACCTCCTGCAGCGCACAGCACAGCCCACCCCAGAGCGCCCCCAGCCCCAGAGGCCCCCAGTGCCCAGGAGACCTGCAGGACAACGTGTGCTCTGTCCCCCCAGCTCCGTGGCCTCCGGGAGACGAGGCCAGCTCTGGCGACCGCACAGCACCCGCAGTTCCCGGGGCCGAGGACAGGTGCGGTGACCTCGCAGGGCGCAGAAGGGGCGCTTGGGCTCCGAGTCGCTGCGGACCTGGTGTCCCCAGCCAGGGCCGCGTGGCCACGGTCAGCAGCAGCCGGGGGCGGTGGAGGCCCCTCGAGGTCTCCCTTTCTTGCAAGAGGCCATTTCGCGCAGGCGCAGCGGGTGCGGCCGCCCTCCCCGGAGCCGCGGTGTCCGGTGGACACGGCCGAGCCCTGCGGCTGGAGGCTGCTGGGCCTCTGCCCCTGCTGTCCGCCTGGTGGACGGTTTGGTTTGTGGCCTCGCAGGGAAGCGGAGGCAGCGCACTGGGCCCCCGGGTCGCGGAGGCCGAGCTGCGAGGCCGAGCGCATCCACCTCCGGGAGGGAACCCTCCGCCCCGGGCTGCCCCGAGCCCCGGCCTCCTCTGGATTGTCCCTTCTCCTTGGGGACCTCCAAGGTGGGTTTGTTGCGCACAAACCATGCACCTGGCCTCTGGGGACACTGGCACCCCGTAAGGCGAACTCCCCAGCCTCGGGACACTTTGAAGAAGGCGCAGCGGCTGCGCAGGGCGGATCCCTGGCTTCGCCACCTGATGCCGCTGGCCTCTCTAGAGGACAGCTGGGCAGGCGCTGGGCATTCTGCAGAGTTTGGGCGCCTGGGAACCGACTGGGACCTCCCCCCAGAGCCGTCAGAGTTGATCTCAGCGAAGGTAAAAATGTCCTCCCCAGACTCCAGCCGGGGACCCCTGGAGAGGTGCGAGGCCCAGAGCAGAGGACCGAGGAGGTGCCGGCCTGCACGGTTGCCCATGGAGGGTGCTGACCCCAGACGGTGGCCTAAGCGTGATTTGTCCTCTGAAAGCTCAGGCACCAGCCAGCTCTGCTCGTGGCTGTGAGACTATTTTTTTTTTTTTCAAATGAGATGGACATTTAAGTCAGCAGGACGCCCCTCTCCCTGGGGGTCTCCAGAAGCAGGTCTGAGGTGGCCCCTGCCCTTGGTGACTCCATCTGCCGTGATGTGGTCACAAGAGCCTAGTGAATG